CAGAAGTATTGTTGGTGGGTTGATGTATTTAACTCATACTCGTATAGATACCATGTTTCCTGTCAGCTTAGTCTAAAGATTCATGTATAATCCTTTAGAGCATCAACTTGGAGCAGCCAAACAGATTCTTTGATACATCCGAGCAACCAGCAATTATGGAATTTGGTATAAACCAGTTCCTAATTTTCAATTAGTTGGTTTTACTGACAGTGATTGGGCTGGTTTTGTAGATGATAGGGAAAGCACAAGTGGGTATGTTTTCAATCTTGGTTCCGGTGCTTTTTCATGGAGTTCTTAAAAACAAGCTACTACGGCGTTGTCATCATCCGAAGTAGAGTATATTGCCGCGACAACAATCGTTTGTCAAGCTGTTTGGATTAAGAGAATTTTAAAAGACTTGCAACAAGTTCAAAGGCGCATGACAGAGATTTACTGTGACAACAAGGCAACGATCTCAATGCAAAGAATCTTGTCTTCCATGGTAGGACCAAGCATATTGAGCTTCGTCATCATTTCATCAGAGACGTTGTTGCTGAAGGTGTGATCACAATGAAATATTGTTCAACCAATGAACAAGTTGCTGATGGCTTTCCTAAAGCACTTTCTTATCCAAAGTTTGTGAAATTTAGATCACTTCTTGGTGTATCCGGATTTGTATCGAGGGGGAGTGATGAAGTGTGATGCACGTGTAGTGTAATGGTCTCCTTGTTTTATATAATTGTTGAATGGGTCAAGTATTGTTTGTGGTAGAAGTGGTTTAGTGGTTGAGTTGTTATGGGTTCATATTTCTTAGGAGCAGGCATAAAAAGTGGAAACCACCTCCACATCTATAGACCCACATAGTGTTTTTTTCTTCTTTAAATAGCATAGATGTGTCATTGTTGGTGTCTTAAAATTGTATTTGTTTTTCAGCTAATAAATAATGATTTGTTGTTTCTCTTGCCCATCTTTGTTTCTTTGTTTCTGCAGTAGTAGAATACCACCAGTTTCCAACAATTATGTCATTACCCTCACCTTGATGTCTCCGGTTACTATTATACCAAGGCACATGGAACCAGGCAATAATCCAGGGTGTCCTTATTCAATCTACCTTTACGAGATTGGCCTTGAACCAGTTATATTGATCTGAATACTTATCATAATCTGTGTATGACTCTAGCACCAGGATATGCACCCCTGCAACCACAAAAATACTACAGATTCGAACTTGAACAACTCTCCTCAAAGGGTGTCTTCCACCTTGGGCTGATTGTGTGTATCTACCTGGAGATGTCCTATAGTCAACACTTGAAGTGGAGTAATCATCATCTGTGACCTAGGTAACCGTTGTGTGTTCATTCCTTGTTAGTGAGATGTGAACTTATTGGGGATAAGAAGACGACTGCCTGTGCTGCCATGGAAAGGGGAGCATCTCACGAGCAGGCGGCTGTACATACTCCGAAATGGCGGATGATAATTTTCTTGGCATCAGCAGTAGGGGCAAGAGTTTCAGCATCAACCCCACTCTCTCTCTCTAGAAAGAGCTTGGACCACTACAATTGGATCATTGGAGGCTTGACATCACATAGACATGGGCAACCAGTACTTGAATTGTTTCTAAAGATGGAGAGAGAGGGATGAAACGTGACAATTTGAACTTAATTGGTGTTTTGAGTGCTGGTAGCCATTCGGAGTTAGTGAATGATGGCTGTATATGTTTTGAGATGATGAGGGAGAAGTATTAAATTGAACCCAAAATTCAACATTATGGGTGCGTGGTGGATCTTCTCAGTAGAGCTGGTCGAATAAAGAAAGCCATAGAATTGGTGTAGCCATGCCCTTGACCTTGAAGCCAAATGAACATGTATGGAGAGCTCTACTTGAGAGTTGCATAAACTATGGAGAAATCACAATTGCAAAGCTTACAGCAAGGGAACTGATAGAATTGGAGCCTTATGACAGTAACTATTATGTTCTACTTTCAAATATATATAGGGCGACTGGGACGAAGGGAGAGAAAGAAGAGGTTAGAGAGAGAATGAGAGAGGGAGGAGTGAGAAAGGTGCCGAGCTGCAGGTCAATTGAAGTGAGTTTACTGTTGCTGCAGGTTGTGTTGGAGGGGTTAAGGCATGGACTAGTCATGAATAGAAAAGAAGGTTGCATTTATTCGTCATTTATGAGTAGTGAGGTATGGCTCGATGAGAGAGAGGTGGGGTTGCAGAGCTTCAGGTTACTTCCATGACATGACTAGAAAAGAAGATTGTTTTCTGATGTGGAGGAGAACTACTGAATGAGATTACTTCTATGACATGGTGGCAAAGCTCGAGAGAGAGATAACGAATGATGCTTTGAAGACGTAAAGGTGGGAATTATACTGAGAGAAGAGGGAATGTTAAAACATAGAGAACAAAAGGGTAGAGAGTTATATGGTGACTTCCCATGTACGAAAGAGAGAGGTGTCAATAGAAACTCAAAAGGGGTGTTGACTTGTCACACAAGAGAGAGTATAGCATGGGAGAGGGACAATTTAAAGTGTACACCTCATAATAAAAATAAAAATAAAGAATAGAGACCCTCTCACACTCATGTGTGTAGGACCCCAAAACATTATCATTAAATTTGACATAAATCTCTAGAAAAGTCAAATCCCATACTCATGTGATAAATTTTTCTAAAGATCTATGCTAAATTTAATGGTGATCCTTTGAGGTTCTACACACATGGGTGTGGGAGGGTCTCATAGGATCATTACTCTCATAATAAAAATATCTTCCCATAAATTTTGCCATGTAAGATGTGCAAAATACATTAATCGCCTCATGAAAATATTACAAGCAAAGAGTGGTTGATCACAACTCCATACTAACAAAATGGATCAGTATCGTTTTAGGAAAAGTGTTGTTTAAATCGTATAAGTAAAAAATAATAATGATCCCTATGGTGCATATCAACATAATGGACTATCACTTTAATTATTTCTTTATTATCAGCATTTTATTTTATTTTATTTATTTATTTTGCAGTTATTTCTATCAACACTATTAATATTATTTTTCTGTTTCGAAAATTTTAGAGTCATCACAAGGGGATAATGTGAAATCCATGAACTGGAATTGCATCCCTCAGTCTATTGGCTGACTTTGATGGTCCAATCATGAGCCCCTGCATTGGACTATGGGTCATGAAAACTGCTGGGTCAGTTTGAGAAAGCTAGGTGGATCGTGATCAGCAGTTGAAGGTGGAGTGCTCCTGTATATTGATAAAATTACTAGATCTAATGGATCCGATTCCCATCAAAATTAATTAGTTTTAACTAATTTTACGATATATGGTTTTTAGAATATTTATTTGAATTTTTGTGAATCTTACGATATTTTATTTTTGTCATTTGGATTATAAATTAAGATGCATGGACATGAGAAAAATGGATTTAAAGTTTTGAAACTAGTGCATCTTGAAACACATTTTTTGACTGTCAATTTTCACACTTTAAAAAATCAGCTTGATCTACACTATTTTTTAAGCTTTAAAATTTATTATTAGAGATAAAAATATATTTTAAAGCTATAACAAAGATTTCCAATATTGAAACTACATCTCTCGACACAATTTCAAGCTGCGCTTTACTTTGATTGTTAAGATTTTCAACTCTATACAAATTACACCCATAAATAAGGGTGCAATTTGTATAGAACGTACACGCTCAACAATCAAATTAGAGCCTGAAATGTGGTTTCAATGCTGAAAATCTTTATGATAGCCTTATAATATATTGTCATGTTAATTTATGAGAAAAGTTTATATAGAGCTGAGGCTCTAAACAATCAAATTAGAGTGTACCTCAAAAATTTTTACTAGAAGATGTTGTTTAGATGCTCAAATATCCTCAAATTGATCATCTGGACATCAAGATCCATGGACATGAGAAAAAAATGTATTTTGAATTTTGGAAATAGTGTATTTTTTAACGCCTTTTTTTATTGTCAATTTTCAAGATTTTCAAGTTTTGATAGATCCATCGATCTACACTATTTTTGAAGTTTTAAACTTTATAAATAAAGATGAAAAAAAAATTTAAGGCTATCACAAAGATTTTCAATATTGAAACCACATTTCTCGACACTATTTGAAGGTAGGTTCTAATTTGATTGTTTAAAGCCTAGGCTCTATACAAACCACACCCTTCATTTATAGAGTTTTAAAGCTTCTATGAAAACTTGAAAATCTCGAAAATTGACGATCCAAAAATGCATTAAAAAATATACTATTTCCAAAACTCGAAATTCATTTTTTTCTCATGTCCATACATTTTGATGACGAGATGATCAATTTGAGGATATTTCGGCAACAAAACAACCTCTTCTAGTGAAATTTTTTTGGTAGACTCTAATTTTATTGTTTAGAGTCTCGTCTCTATTAAACTTTTCCCATATATAAGATAGGTAGGTTTCTCTGGCAACCAAGAACCTTGGTAGAGAGCATTGTTTACAAAATCGCCCGATCTAACCGCTATCCGCCCGGTTAGATCAGAATTGGCTAGTAGTCGGTTCCTGTTTTGGGTGGTTAGGGTGATCGACTGGTATTTTTAAAAAAAAAATTCAAGAAAATGTATATAAATTTTTCAAAAATAAGGAATTTGATGTGTAATGTATTTTTAAATATTATTTAAATTATGGTAAAAATTAAAATTGTTTTGGTCATTAACACTCACTTTTCATATTTTTTTTTAAAATTTAAAATAGTAATTAAAAAATATAAAATGGGTTAGTAATCAAAATTTTTTTTTAATTAATTTTCAACAGCAATGTGTTTATCTTTTGTTGTTTTGTATTTTTTTCAATATGTTTTTGACTGCTCGAGATTTGCTCGATTAGAACGATTGAATCTATCGGTTTACAGGTTAAACCGCTTCTAGGCTGTCAAGTTAACGGTTCGGGTTCCTTTTTGCGAACACTCATGGGGGACGAGTGTTGGAAGGCGAAGGATATGGCATACATCATCATCAGTAAGTAAACATATAAATAGTTGGAGCTTGGGTAGGGCCCATATAAAAACGCAGGCTCTGTTTTGTTATTAGTTATCGGAGTTATGAATTCTTCGGATCCAAACCACGACGATGAGGCAGCTCTCATTGAATTCCTCTCCTCTCTCATGGATTACACCCCCACTGTATCTCTCTCTCTCTATTCTAACTTCAATTTCATTTTCTATCTCACTTAAAAACGTCTCTGTATTATTTCGTTTCTTTAATCTCTGTATTATTTCATTTCTGTAATCTCTCTTCTTCTCTCTCTCTGGCTCTCTCTCTGAAACCTAGATTAAATTGCATTCATCCCTCTGAAATCGTGTTTTTTTTTGGGTGTATTGCAGATACCGGACGAATTGGCGGAGCATTATCTTGGAAAGAGTGGTTTCCAGTGCCCAGACATTCGAGTGTAAGTTCCCCCACTTTGCTTTTCAGTGTTTAAAATAATTTGAAACCATGAGGTAATACTTTTCATGTGTTTCTGTCACCCAATTTCGAGATTAATCACAGAATTTGGATTGCGAAAAAATGGAGATTATGGATCACTGACTGAGATGATTTTTTTTTTTTTCAAAACTGGTTTGAATAGAGAAAAAATGTACAAAACCACAAAGTGTGGTAAAAATGGCAGCCCACAAAATGGGTGGTCAGAGTACAGGGGGAAAGAATAAACTTAAAAAGAAAGAACAAAAAAAATTGAGTTAACATATTAAAAGAGAGTCAAAATGGGATCTAGAAACATAAACATAGATATGTAGAGCGTACAAAAGAGGTGGGGAGAGTCCTGGCCTGAGGCAAAAAGTGGGCGATGTGGTCCTATTTTGCTATTCGAGATCCACTGTCGAGGTAGCGATCGTGAACTGCCAGGGTTTGATTGAGCACTGAAATCCTGTTATGACCTTCCGAGTAGGAGATATCCCTTGGAGACTAGCCTGCTAGCTGCAAGAGGAGTAAAGGATGAGGGAAAGAGAGCGAAGAATGGTCGATGTATCCAGGAGTGGTGGCAAGAAGAGAAGGGAAATTTGAGGAGAGGTAGAGGAGGGGAAGGGGTAGAGTAGGGGTTACAAGGGGGTTGAGTAAAGAGGTGTGTGATAGGGCAAAGTAAGGAAAGGTGCAAAAAGAAAAGATGCAACGGTGAAGCATGGGCTGGGAGAATAGAGAGAGAGAAGGGATAGTGAACAAAATAAGCGACAGGGGAGAAAAATATAAACAAGAAACCCCAGAAGAAGGGAGGGTGAGGGTGAGGGAGAGGTAGAGCAAAGTGAGGGGAGATGATGAAATGCTTGAGGCTTTTTTTTTTTTTCTTCCTTTTTTTTAATCCCTCTTTTCTTTTACACACTAGGGGGAAGAGCAGAGAGAGAGAGGGGGAGGGGAGGGGGGAGGGATGATGCACCTCTTGTAAAAATAAGAGGGTGGGAAAGGTGTTGTGTTGCAGGCTCCTTCCTTGGCAAGGCAGTTTGCAGGTGAATTGGTCCCCCTGAGAATGTGCTTAAAAGTTATAGGTGGCTGGTCACTGCAAATAAAGGAAATAGATTGAAAGATAGATGTCAGCAGTCAGGGTGGTGGAGCGAGGTTGGATGCCCACCTGGTAACATTGCTGGAGTCACATTTGACCTGTATAGCTGAGTAATGTGTGTTGAAATGGGTGGTCTTTTTAAGTCCTTCCAACAGGGTCATGACCTCGGCATTGGTGGTATCGGCTGTACCAAGGGTCCTTGAGAAAGAGAGGAATAAGCCGTTGGAATAGGCCAGGGTACTTTCATGTCTAGAGGAGCCGAGGTTGCCAAAGGATGCACCATCTGTGTTAAGTTTGAGGATTACCTGTGGGGATAGACGCCAGATGGTTCTGATAGTGGGTGTAGGGGATTGAGATACCGGCGGACTGTGCCAACTTCCTCTAGGATTAGAAATAGGGATGTGACAGAAGAATGGAATGGTAGAAGCCCATAAGGAAATGAGGGAGATAAGAGAGTCTGAAATGGAGTGGAGGGGTTTAGCTATACCATGAAATTCAATTTGTGTTGTTTCTCTTTCCATTAAGACTTCCTAAAAGGCTCATTTCTCTTTCTTTTCACTCTAGCCTTTACATTCTTCTCCCTCCTCCTAGTTTCTCCCCATAAAGCTAGATTCATGGGGTAGGAGCAGGAACATGTTAAAACTCTTTATTTTTTTAGCGTATCACTCTCTAGATTTGCTTCCTTATCTCTCCTTTTCGAGCTCTTTTCCATCTCTCTTAACATATGTCTCTCTCTCTCTCTCTCTTATTGTGATCCTTTTACCTCTCCTGCTTGTTTGAACCTAATCATAGTGGCCCTTCTCATCTTTAGATTGTTGGTTTAGAAAAGGATTAGAAAGTGGTTATGTTACTTTGCTTGTTGACAGAAAATTAAATGTTGGTTCATATGGTTATGTTACTTTGCTTGTTGGCTGAAAATAAAATGTTGGTTCATTTGGTTATGTTACTTTGCTTGTTGGCTGAAAATAAAATGTTTGTTCATTATTTTTCTTTCCCATTTGATGGTGGATATTGTTAGGAAATCAGTCATGCATAATGCATTCAATAATTGGTCAACACCAAAACATTCTGAAGTATCCAAAATACATCAAAATTATATTGAATGCAGCATCACAATTGGTAGTGTTTAATGGATATTACATGCTTGCCTGAGTAAATTATGTCATGGATCAACTTCTTCTTTACACATTTTTATACAAGTAATGTATACTATATTTAAGCTAGGAGCTCTTGACACACCAGGTTATCCATGTACAAAGTGTTTCCTCTTCAATTAAGTGTAGAGCAGACGACAGTGAACTAGTCCCTTTTTTACTTGATTAGTGGAGTTGTGTATTTACACTATGGAAAATTAATCACAATGATTTCATTGGGAATTAGACTTGATGTGAGGTAAAATCACTTTGTTGTTTTGTATTTTTGAAAGATAACCATGATGGGGAAACTGTATACATGAAGCTGCACCGGTAATGCAGAGAATCATAGTTGCCTACTGTCTAAAAGAGACCAATTAGTGTTATACATGTCCCTTTGTTATCATACCTGCAATCCCATCATGAAAGCATCGATTTTATTGTAGACTGATAAACGTGATTTAAGTTTGGGATGAGGGAGAGATTGAACCGTATTGTCACTTTTTTCTTTGCTAGGTAAACTTGCACTTTTATCAGTGTTATCCACTAGATGCCAATACAAATTCCTAGCTCAAAACATTTTTTTTCTGGGGGGTAGGTCAGAGGCGGGCATTGGAAGCTGGGGCTTGTGTTCAAAGAAAAATGTACTCCAGTTTGTTTGGTTTGTTGGGAGAAACTTCAAGGGTTTGAATTTCGAATTCTTAATCCCTCTCACCCAGACCAGGATGTGTACCACTAAGCTGAAGCTCAAGGGGAAATGGTATCTGAAACATAGATGGCTGTATCCATTTCTTATATTAATGGGCATTATACAAAATGTCTATGACTATTATGAGAAACCCAACCTTCATAAAGAGAAACAACACAACTCATGGGGAAACCCAGAGCACTCAATGTCAAACTCTCCACTCCTAGATTGCTCCATTTTCAGTCTTGCTTCTGATAGACAACCTTTGCCTATGCTGTTCAACATAATTTTGTATTCTTCCCTAACAACTGAAATCATACTGCCATCAACTAAATCATCCCTTCCAGATATCGGAGTAACTGCAATCTATTGCTTGGCAGCCATCCATTTTCATTTCTTGGAGTATCCTACCCCTTGACCTGCCTTAGGAGACTCAAAGGGGCCTTTTGGGCTTTTAGAACCTTAATCCTAGCTATTGTGTCCATACAGGTGGTAGAAGCCTAGATTGGCATGTACATGTTAAGACTCGAATACCCTCCATGCCATGGTTTAGCCGAAGGAGCAGGGGCTTAAACTTTTAGTTGGGGGAGCTGCCGGTCTTACACATGGCATACTACCATTGGTTTCCTTAGATGTGTCATATATTAATACATTTACATGTTCAGCTCAAATGTTTTATTGAAAGTCATAGTCATCTTTCAAGGTGTCACATCAACTTGTAATCTTTAATTTAAGATTACATAATATAACATTGTTACTTTCATTAAAAAGGGAAATTTATCAAAATACACGTTATCTCATGTGTTCTAGGCTGGGTTATCTCACTTACACAGGGGGCTTTCGTTAAGGATTGCCAGATCCTTGATGGGGCCCTCATTGACCCCGAGTTTATTCGCTCCCATCATCTCTCAAAAGCCCGCCATCTAGTCATTAAGCATTACTGGGAGAAAGCATGCGATCATGTAGACTGGAACATCCTTGATGAGACCCTCATGAGAAATGGATTTCGGATTCCAATGGAGGAAGTTGATCCATGGATGTATCTCTAATCCCATCTTTTTGGTGTTCATTAGTGGATCTCCCAAAGGATTCTTCTCGGCATCCAGGGGCCTTCGTCAGGGTGATCCTTCGTCGCCTTTCATCTTCGCCATCGTGGCCGAGGTCTTCAGTACTTTCATTTCTAGGTTTTACCAAGCTGGCCTTCTCAGAGGCTTCCAAACTAGTCGCCAAGGACTTGTCATATCCCACCTCCAATACGTAGATGACATTCTTCTTTTCTACGATGCCTCCTCGCAACAGGTCGACTACCTCCTCCTTTTCCTCAAAAGCTTTGAAATGGCTGCTGGCTTTAGGGTGAACTTGGCTAAGTTTAAGATGATGGGGTTGTGTGCTGATGACCACTTGGTTCATAGTTTGGTTGAAAGGTGGGCTTGTTCGGTCGACGACCTACCTTCCACTTACTTGGGACTCCCATTGTGCCTCGCCATGCCTAGACTCAATCAATGGAGTCATATCATCGACAAGTTCAATCGGACGCTCGTAGGCTGGAAAGGAAGGTTCCTTTCCTCGGCTGGCAGACTCACCCTCATCAAGGCCACCCTTTCTTACACTCCTATCTTTCAGACGTCCATGTTCCATATGCCAGCCTCAGTAGCTGCTCAATTAGAGAAGCTGATGTGGGATTTCCTTTGGTCGGGAGAAGGAGGCCACAGGTACCATCTCATCTCTTGGACTAAGGTGTGCATGCCTAAAGCCCAAGGTGGACTGGGCATTCGTAGCCTCAGATCAAATAACATTGCACTCTTGGGCAAGTGGTGGTGGCACTATGCCACACAACCCCAATCAACTGTGGAGGAAGGTCATTTGCCACAAATATTGCCATTGATTTGAAGCCTGGCTCCCAATGTGCAGGAACAGTGGCAACATTAGATTCAACCTCTTTTTACAACATATTTGTTATTGTCCGAGAGGGGGCAATAGGGTGATGTTCTGGTCCAACCTTTGGATAGGTCATACCCTGCTAAGGGACCAGTTTTTTTTTTTTTTGATAAAGTTGACTTTGTATTAATAGAATATAAAGATACAATAGAGATTATTATTCTGAAAAACAAAAGATACAAGAGAGTGTATTACAAAATTTAGGCACTCCCCTTAACAGGTTGCCCTGTACAAAGACCTTTGAAGGTACATGGGACTCTACAACAGAACCAAAAAAGAAGGGATGAGTGCTAGGGGGGTCGGAATTCCCCTGGGGAGAGTTGAGACTAGCTCCCTCCCTTGCTAAGGCATCTGCCTCATCATTACCTGCTAAGGGAAAAGTTCCCCAACCTTTTCCTCCTCGCTCGTGATAACCATTCTTGTATGGCTGATAACTTTCCAAGGTTGGGTTCAGTTAGATCTTGGAGTCCTAACTTCAGAAGGCCCATTGCAGATCATGAAGTGGAGGAGTTTGTGGCAATAGCAGCACTCCTCCACTCAGTGTTCCTCCTTCTTGATGGGGCTGACAAGATCGTATGGGTACCAGCTGCGTCTCGAATATTTTCCATGCCCTCCTTTTTTCGCTTTATCAACTTGCCACTAACCCAACCATCAGCCTCCCCTCGATCGTGGCTAAAGCCTTGTTCTCTTTCATTCCACCCAAGAGTCAGGTCTTTTGCTGGATTGCTCTTTATGAAACAAACTTGACCATTGATCATATCCAAAGAAGGGGTCTCCCATTACCCGATAGATGCCTGATGCATTTGGAGGCTGAAGATACCAGTGCACATCTCTTCATCCACTGCCACATCGCAAGAGCCCTATGGAGCAACCTTCAACTGTTCATTTGTCGTGGGTGACCCCTCAATCGGTCCCTCACCTCTTTGCTGCCTGCCTTAGGTCCTCTTGACCCAGTTCAGGCAATCTGCTCCAGAGGGCCTCAATGGCTGCCACTCTACAGGTAATTTGGTTAGAAAGGAACAACGTAATCTTTAGGGGGGGAGAGAGCCACAGTGGTTATATTGTTTGGCATAGTCATAACTTTGGTCTCCCTTCTGGCCCAAAAACCAAAAGTTATTTAGAGATTTCTCGTTTTCTGACCTCCACCTCAATTGGCAGCATCTTTTGAGACTGAGACCCATCAGGATCACACGGGCATCCCTGTGGAGACCATCGGAACCCGGCCAAACTAAGCTGAATTTCGATGGTTGCTCGCTCAGCAACCTGGGCATCTTCAGAACCAACGACGGCAGCCTTTTTCTATCCTTTCCCTCCCCATTGTCTCTGCTGATTCCACTTTAGTGTAGGCTCTCCCTCTCTTGGAGGGCTAAAAAAATTCAATCCTAGCTGGAGTTCCGATTTGGTAGTCAAAGGGAATCTAGAAATCTCATCGCCTGGGCTTCTGGCTCTGCATTCTGCCCTTGGAGATTTGACCATATTTTTTATGAGATTTCACTGATTTGCAGGACTACGTGCGTCTCATGGGGGCATATTTTAAGGGAAGCCAATGCAGTAGCCGACGATTTAGCTAGGGAGGGAGCATCGTCAGCTCCACCATGGAGATTTTTGGCGATTTGTTTAGCACTTAGTCCCCCTTTTTTGTATCTACTTTTTTCTGTTCTTGCTGTAGAGCATTTTTTGGGCCCCTAAAGTGAGTTTTTAAACATGGCACCCATGTTTTGGGTTGCCTCATTTTTTGTGCATCTCGCTTTACTACTTAATATAAAAGCCAACATCTTCAAGAATAGATTAACAATTTAACATTTGAACCCATATACTCTAAATTAATTTCAAAATACCCATCAAAATGCACATGATTTTGACTTGGAATAGTAGTAAAGCATAACATGTTAAATAATTAAAATGTGAGCTGTATTTTCACAAATGTCCCTCATCATCATCATCATCTGAGCCTTATCCCAACTATTTGGAGTTGGCTACACGAATTTTGTTCTGCATATTTTAATAAAATTTCCTTTAAAAAAAAATGTCATGTGCTGTGGTGCCAGTCATCCTCCCATGGCTATGTAAAACAAGAGTGCAAGTGTTTTTATGACGAGGACAAAAAGCTGGATTTGGATATTATTTTAATAAAAAAACACTAGAGCCTATCAATTATTGGTCAAATGGTAGTCAACACACTTATCATGTATAACTAAATAAATAAGTAGATTTCTATTTTCTTTAATGCATCAGTAAGACTTCAAGTATTGGTTGGTAGTTACTGAGTCATACCAGATTGCCCTTATGTGTGGGTGGTTATTGTTTTAGATAACTTTTGAAGTATGATTAATTGAAGATAGTGTTTGGAAGTGCTTTCTTTTCCTTTGTGATGAAAATCTTATATTATCTTTCATGTGTTTGGCTTCTCTTCTCTTTCACATAAAAACCATTTCTAAGGACAAGCTGATGTAGGGAAGACGGGTTGAAGAAGATAAACAAACCAGAAAAATAAAATAGAATTACCATATCGTCTGTCATGTTATAATTTTCTATTTTTATTTAAAATATGCACATATGAGTTTGAGATAACGAGAATTTGTTCTGTCTTTTTTTGTATAAAGGTTCTGTTGAAATTGATCTGTAATACCTTACTGGCTTTCCAATTCATATCCTACAGGAACTTACATTGCTCTTGCTAGCTTTGATTGCAGAACTAGATTGGTGGCACTCGCAACCCAAAAATTCATTGCAGAAATTGCGAATGATGCTCTTCAGTATGCTTCATCTTCCCATACTTGAGTGTTCTTTTAACAGCCAATTTTTTTTTTTCTTCATGCATCTTGGCCGATTCTTATCATTTCGAGTATACATAAAGGAAATGTGGAATTGTGAGTTATGAGAAAAAAAATATGATTATTCTACCCACTATGTTAGTTGATTTTTTTCGAAGTAACATATTGCTAAGTTGTTTTAATGTTCTGTAGGCTAGTATTTGGTGCCTTCTTGACCTCACACAGTTTTTAGCCAACATTATCATTTCTTTATATCTATGCTGCTGGATAGTAACAAGCTGTGTTGTATTGTACTTTAAAGTAGTGGAAGTTACTAGTGGTGCTTCCATTTACTTTGGGCATTTCAAACTGGTGATCTTTTTTTTGCATTATTTAGGATAAGTTTATTGTGTGGCATGCAACAAAATTCACCTATCATTTACGCCAATTGTATGGCTTGCTTGTCATTCATGTATTTGGGCACTTATTTGTTTGGTACATTTTGAAAAATTAGAAACTTCTCTGATGATTCCCCTTGATGGGTGAGCTTGGGGCTTGTTTGAACACAGCACACCCATATATACTTGGTAAAACCGACCATGTTACATGCTAGTTTATTGAGCCTATTTGTAGAAGGCAGATGCTACAACACCTGGTGCTTTATTCCCTCTCCAAAATCCAATTTAATAATTTCTCTGGAGTGGAAAGTTTTCCCATCATGTTGATTAGAAGTGAAAGGATGGGCTACTTCTATTGGCTATGTGTCATGACTCAGTGATAGTGGATTCAGACAAATTGGTCATTAGTGTATTGCATATTTATGTGTTGGATTTTCTGGGGGGTAGTTGATAATCTCCATCTTGTAGCCAGTCAAGAAGTGTAGAATACAAAACTGGGGTTGTTGTGGGCATGGATGCTACGAAGTTTCAATTATAGTCCCTTATATATGGCTTAGAAAATATGGATGTCGGTGTTGGTTTTGGTGTCCTTTAAACTTGATTTTGAAGAAAATAAGGCTTCAACAAACTTCAAGAAGTGCTTCTTCTTTGGACTAGGATGAACAATAATGGAGACATTATTTTAGTGTTATTGACACCCACCACTTGGTAGCGCAATATACAACGGGGTGTTTGGCAAATCAGCCCTCCGATACAATCGCCCAATAAAGCACTATTGTTCTCTCTAGCTCTCAATTCTACAGAGAATCCAAGATACTACAATAACATGCCAGTTTGTCACTTCTCTCAATGGAGGAAACACACTTAAAGAACATTGCTTTGAGAAAGGAAAATACATTGCTAATTGGGAGCACAAGCCCTTTGTTTGACATGGGAGTAACACACACTTTGAAAAGAGAGAAGGGGGCACTTTGATAATTGATGACCAAGTGTTCTTAGGAAAGAGAGTGGAAGAAGAAAGATGAGTTTTGGATTGTCTATGAGTTTTTTGTTTTGTCTCTGGTTTCAGGTCTGGTTTATCTCCAAAAACTCATGGTTATAGTCTTGAGATGTGTGAAAAGAAGACCGGTCAAATGGGGAGAGAGAGAGAGAGAGAGAGAGAGAGACGCAGTCGACTATTACGTGACGTAGGTCGTACTACTTACGTCGACGAGTAGTAAGGTAAATTAAGTACGGTACTTACGTACGGACGGGTCGTA